ATGTATCTTTGAAGATGCTAGGTTTTAATAGTCAGGGCAGAGTACAGAAACCAGATGGTTTTAACTCACACCTGTGAAAGTGCTGGGGTTCGGAAAAACATTAAAGTTAATGGCCAGAGTAGGCCTGCCAAGCTCAGTGGGATTTTACTTACCTGGCATCTCATTCTGGTTAACTGAACTTTCCAGTTAACTGATGGCTACATTTGTTCATGCCCCCTCCTGCCCCTCCTCACCACCACTCAAGTCCTTCTTGTATGGAAATTGCTTCACTTTCTCCCTCATCTCCTTTCTCTCCTTTTCTCAACTTCTCCCCTTTCTCTCCTTCATCTGTCCTGTAGACGAATGCCTCTTTCCTTCCTGGTGTTGCTTATTCTTTTCCTCCTTCAGCTTCCATTTCTTCTACCCCAGACACGTTCCTGTTTTTCTCATATTGGGAGGCCTCTGAACTTAGCCTTTATTGGCCGGCATATAGCGTTCGATTATTCACTGTCCACCTTGAACTTTGTGTTGTTCTGGGCTGAGAACCCAGGCCTTTGAACCTGCCTTGCCTTTTCTTGATACTTCCATGCTCCCCATGTCCATGTTCATTGTTGCACCAGTTGAAGGAGGTATTGGGTTGCCCAGTTGTCAGCTACTAAAGTGTAACTGTACATTTTAAGCGTACCTGCATTTTATTACATAATACTGGCAATAGATGCTTCTAGGAAAACCTTGAAAAACTCTGATTATTTGGAAAAACTATGGGGCTCTTTCTTTTTTTTCTCTCCACCCTCCTTTGCACCTGCACCTAGATTCTAAGCTCACACTCATAAATGAAGTAATTCTGTCCATACTGTGATGACATTTTCTTGAGAAGTGAACCCCTGTATTTTCTTCCGCTGATTGGCAGATGGATCCTAAGGTGGGCCCAATGACTCCCACCTTCTTGCATCCACACCCTGGTATGATCCCTCCTCCCATTAAATGTGGGCAGAACCTGTGACTTGCTTCTCACCAATAGAAGATGAAAAAGATGATGGGATGTCACCTCCTCGATTAGGCTACATTATGTGACAAAGTAAAGAGATCTTGCAGATATAATTAAGGTCCCAATTCAGTTGATTTTAAGTTAATCAGAAGGGAGATCATTTTGGGTGGGCCTGACTTAAGTAAAAAACCCTTGAAGAGGCACCGAGGTCAGAGATACTCCCCATTGGTGGCATTAGAGAAGTAAGCTGTCGTATTGTGAGAGTGCCACATGACACAACTGCAGAAGGCCCGTGGCCCAAAATGGACAGCAAGGAAATGGGGTGTCAGTCCTACAACCTCAAGGAAATACATTCTGCCAACAACCTAAAGGAGTTAAAGGTGATTGAATTTCCCAGCTATGCCTCTGGTGATACCTCAGCCCAGCTGTTATCTGGATGTTAGCCTGGCTGAGAACCCAGCTAAGCCATGCCCACACTTCTGACCCAAGGAAACCGTAACATAATAATGGTGTTGTTTTCAGAGGCTAAGTTTGTGATAATTTGTTACACAGCAATTTAAAATGAATGCATTCTTTAATATTCTTTGCTCAGAGAGTTCTGAGTTACTCACCAGGACCCGGAGGACAGCCTAAAAGGTTATTACACCATTAGAAATATTTATTTTGTAGAAAACCCTATTTTTTGTGACTTTCAACTACAAATAAAGACGAAAATAATATATTATCCTGGGCTTCATATGGGTATTTAGACACACGTCCACTTCCAGAGTCACACACATATTCTGAGATGTTGTCAGGAACAGCTCACATACCACAATGCGGCACTGTCTTTCCTCCAGACGTCACCTTGCGACTCATGGAGGAAAAAACGAGGTGACTTCATGGTACAGGTCTCGCCGTCCACTTATAAATGAGGAGAGTAAGAACCACATCGTCTTACAAGTAGAAGTCAATATAAGTCCTCCGTCTTGAATCGCATTGACCTGAGAGGTCATATGATTTCCATTCGATCACAGAGCAACCCAAGGGCAGAAGTGAAATTGGAATTTCACTTTTGAATTTCTGAAACCTTTTTAAAAATATACTTAATCTTGGAATCTGGAATTTTGTTTTTGTGGGGGTGGGCGTGGTTGTTATTTTATTTTATATTTTATTTTTGCTGGAACCATCTTTCCCTTTGAAAACCCCCTTTGTGCCACAGCCCTATTTTCTGAAGGGGAGTTATATCTAAAGTGTTCACTACCTTCCATGCTCACCCAACCCTAAATAATTGTCTGCATGTGCCTTTTATTGTCACCTCTGAAACAAGATGAAGAAACCAAGGGTTTGCTTTAGAACGCATTAACTTCTTTATCACATTAATACTGACTCATATCTTATTTCCCACTTGCAGTAAGAAAACCATTCAAATCTTTCCCTCTCAGGACAATATCTTTAATAGCTTCTGTGTGTTTCCTATTTTTGGCTGTTTCTGTATAAACAGACTAATCTAATAGCATGCTGAACCATCTAACTTGGCAGAAATTCAGAAAATCACTCATTTCTATAGCAAGCTGGGATGCCAAGAAGGGGGGTGGAGCCCTCACTTTTATTGCAGAAAGATTTTTCTTAAAGTTGTCTTTCATGAACATAATATGTCTATCATTTGGAATTCTCTAGTACCCTGACTGGAAATTATTTATTGTAGAATGGCACAATGGTGAACAAGAAAGTATCATTCCCCATACAATTTCTGGCTTGAATTTGTTTGCCTAAAGGAACAGGATCTTTTGAACACAGTTCTAAATGCTGACATGGTTATGAAAGGTGGCATTCACCTCTAGGACATTTTCCATTGAACCTAAAATGTGAGAACATCATGACCCCTTGCAAAGCCTGGCTAGCGGCCTGGCCAGTCCAGAGTTCTGTGTGTATCACTAGAACACGAGTCTTTGGAAGATGTTCTTGCTGATACTCCATACCTCCTTTGATTTGTTGCTACTTACATGTCATAGATCCCAACAGGTATAAGACCTGGCTACCACTTCCAAGTTACTAACCATCGCTAGAGAACATCACAAATCATTTCCTGACAACTGAGCTTTATGAGGTCAGCTTCAATTTGACCCTTATTCTGGGGTGACCACAATCCCTCTCTGGACCCCATGGTTTGCTCATCCACTGGGGCTGGTGCACCTAGGACTTGCATGCCCTCTTCAAGGATAACTGGGACCCTCAAGATCCCTAGTCACAGAATCCCCAGTCCACCTCTAGAATGGCATGTGCTTTTCTACATGCTATTCTTTTACTTTATTTAGCATGTATATTTATTTTTTGAAATAGAATTTATGTTTTGAATGGTTTTTTGTTTGTTTGTTTGTTTTTAGGTTTACAATCAAATTGAGACAATGGTACACAGTTCCCATATACCTACACCCAGTTTCCCCTGTTATTAACATCTTACATTATTTGGTACATTTATTACAACTACAGAAACAATATTAATATATTATTATTAACTAAAGTCTATAGTTTATACAGATTTCCTAGTTTTTACCTAAAGACCTTTTTTCTGTTCCAGGATCCCATCCAGGATCCCACAGTGTGTTTAGTTACATGTCTCCTTAGACTTCTCTGAGCTATGACCATTTCTCAGACTTCTTGTTTTTGATACTTTTGAGGAGGACTGGTTGGGGATTATGTAAGATTAGAGGCCTGGTGCACGAATTCATGTATGGGTGGGGTCCCTTGGGGTGGCCATTGGGGATCTGGCCCCAGCTCCTGGTCCCAGGCTCACAGCCTCAGCTCATGCCCCCAGCCTTGCAGCCCCGCAGCCTGCCTGGCACCCCGCCTTGGCCTGGTGCCGCCCACTCACCTGCTCCACCATTCACCGCGGTCCCTCGTCAGGGCCCATCACTGCTGGCAGCACCTCCACTGCTGCCTGCTGTCAGCACCTTGTCACCAATGCCTGCCATGTTCTGCACCGCCCCCTGGTGGTCAGCGCACATCATAGTGAGCTGTCGAACTCCGGGTCTCTCAGTTGAACTCCTGGTCGACCAACTGCCTGAGGGAACAATTTGCATATTAGGCTTTTATTATATAGGATACCCCAGTAAGGAAATGTGTCTGGTTTGTTTTCATTATTAGACTGAGGTTGTGGGTTTTGGGGAAGAAGACATATAGGTGAAATGCCCTTCTCATCAAATCCTGTCAAGGACAATGTTATCAACATGACATATTACTGTGATATTGACCTTTTTCACTGGCTGGGGTAGTGCTTGTCAGCTTTCTCCACTGTAGTTACTCTTTTCCCATACATTCCATGCTGTTCTTTTTGGAGGAAAGTTCCTGTGTGCAGCCCCCACTTAAGGGGACTTATGCTCTCAACCCTTGTAGGCAGAGTGTCTGTCTACATGAACTCTTAGGAATTTTTCTGCATGGGGGATTTGTCTCTCCTCCCCCACTTATTTATTTCTATCTGTGTGGGCTCATGGATATTTACTTTATACTTTGGGTTATTATCCAATACAACTTTACTTTATTTCCCAGTGGTTTGGCCACCAGGGGCTCTTTCAGTTGACTCCCATGTTCTTTTGATGTATGGCTATCAGGGTAAGGTCCATTTTCATATCCTTTTGTGTTTTGTTTGTGTTCCTCCCCGCCTCCTCCATCCCACACACATATGCAAAGGGCAGCATGCTGCCCTGATTTCTGGTCTTTCAGTGGCACTGCTTTCTCCTTTATAAAACTCACACTAAAGCAGTTAGGAGTATGGGTGAGTTTTCTCTCTCATTTAACATTTTACTCTATATGAATTATGAACCATATAGGCCACTCTCTTTCTTAGTGTGTTTGTCACCATACCTCCCAGAGAGGATGGACCTTAGAATCTGTTTGACCACACAGCCAGGTTTCCAAGTCCCAAACAAGGCAGGCTGTCCAAAAGTAATCATCCAGAAAGAAGACCCGAGTCCTAATGCTGCCTCAGTCCCCAACTTGGGCATCTCAGTTTGACCTGTGTCCTCTCTGCACCCTAATTTATTCATCTGCATAGTGAAGGGTTTGCCTGGCTGGTCCCCAAGGCTCCTTCAAATTCTGATGTTCTATGATATTACAAGTCTTTGAGTGATCACTCACGATGCCAAAAAGAAGTCACCAAGGAAACCTCAGGTATTCTGTTAATTATTTTGGTAAAAATCAATAGAGAGAAATAAAAGAGCCAGAACTGAACTCATAAAAAGAAAGAAGAAGAATGAATGTGGAGTAGGGGTCGGGGAAAGAAGAATGGTTAACAGGGACAAGAAATAAATAATGCCAATCCCTATGAAAAGTCTGGAACAAATGATTAAATAGATAATTTCTGAAGTTTTAGGAAAGAAAGTGGGAATATGAAGCAAGAACATGAGTGTCAACTCTTCTAACTCTCTTTGACTTTCAAAAAGTTTACCGGACAGGTAAAAGGTGTGAAGGCGAGTATATGGCTATTTCAGACATGTTGGGCTTTGGCAAGAGTGGCCCCTTAGGCAGTGTTGACAAACATGTAGCATTCAGATCAAGGGAGGTAAACAGGATGAAGACGCAGGAAGCTCCAGTGTTTTGAAGGCCCTTCAGAGGACAGTAAATGGTGGTCCTACAGTGGAACAAGCTTCCACATGAAGAACCTGTGCCCTCTGTGGAAATGTAAAGCAAAGACTGATGCTTGACACCAGTCATGGTGGCCGACTAAAGAATGCCACTTTGGGTAGAGGTGCTGATGGATATGTACTAGGACTTCTTCCTTCTGTCCGATTCTGTGCTAATGTTTCCTGTGCATTCTCTCTCTTTTCATTTTGGTGATTCAAAATCCCAGCCCCCATCAGAAGCCTCTCTGTTTGCTTAAAATACAGATTCCCAGGACCTGTGTGGACACTAATACACACTCGGTCCAGCGGTTGGGAGGGAGTGTGGGTGCCAAGGATCTGCATTTCTGTCTAGCTCTCCAGGTGGTTCTGATGCACACTCAGAGCCCAGAAGCACCCTCTAAGAGGATTGCCAAATACTTAAGAATAAGAACCATATTTCCCTCTTTTTTTGTATGCCTCTCCATACAAGGATAATTACACAGAATAAGCACAGAAATGCTTGTTGATGGATTTTTTCCAGTATTTTTTTTTATATTTCTTTGTCTGGAACTTTGCAAAATAAACACCAGGTCACCCCATGCTTTGTGAGTAGCATGCTAGAATGGAATTTCACTGTTTTAAATTGGGGGTCAATTTATTGGTTTCAAATGAATTATGAAAGGAAGAGGCTGTATCCTTGGAAAAGTATGAATGATGATGCTGAGGACTAGCCAGGCGCTTCCCTTCCAGCTGGTTCCCTGAGGGGTTAAGAGGCCGCTGTTTTGAACCTCCCATTGGTGATGGTTTGAGACCCCTCCTCATCTTACATGTACTAGTATCTTGCAAGGGGTGTATATAGTGGATGCTTCCATTCTATTTCATCTGCAGAATTACTTTCCACTCGGAAGTCTTTTGTATAAATTTTTCCTTGAACCCATTCCAAAAAGTGGATTTTTAACCCAATAGACCATAACTTCAGTGTTTTATCGTGCATACATATTTCAAAATTTGAATGTAAGTAGATTAAGCAAAGTTAAAATAAAATAAAAACTTCTCAAAGGGCACCGCTGCTTGCTTTTCCATGTTGGACTTTTCCCTTTGGGGTTCTTATGTCACTTAAAAGACTCTAAAACAGGAAATCTCTTTCACTTGTGTCTTACTGTCCCTCCTCCCCTCAGCTCGCGCGCGCGCGCGCGCGCACGCGCGCGCGCACAGACACACACACACACACACACACACACACACACACACACACACAGTCTGGTCTTTCTTTGTCTCCTGGCAGCACACTTGGTAACAGTATGAGGAATTCTGAATCTGTGAGTTAGTGCTGTTTATAGCAGCGTGGTCAGTAAGATTCCTAACTGGCATCTTGCTCACCCTCTTGCCTCTCTTGAAATCCCTTCTTCAGGGGCAAGTTAGAGTCATTTCTCTAAAATAGAAATCTGATCTTGCCACCACCCTGTTCTCCACTCCCTGCTTAATCCCTTCACTGGCTCTCCATATCCCTTGGGATAAAAACCAAAATCCTTATCAGATCGTGCAATGCTCTGCCAATCTGCAACCTACTCTCACCTCCCCTTCTACCCTGTCGACCCTCCCCCTCCTCATCCTGTCACAGGTCCTTTGCACAGGCTATTGACGATGCCTGGAGTCCTCTTCCCCTCCTGCTTTAGCTATTGTGTTCCTTCTCACCCTTTAGAGTTCAACTGAATCATCACTTTCAACAACTGGCAAAGTGACTTTGTCTTTCTAAACTGTGTTTTCTTCTATGCACACTGGGTTAATACCTGTATCTTCTTACTAGGATATTGTGGAAGAAAGTGAGGAATAAATTATACCATTCACTAAAGCATTCAACATGGTACTAGGTACACAGTAGGTTATCATGTCTCAGCATTAGCAGTTATTACTGAGCTGGTCTGCAACTTCTACCCTTAAGTCCATCTCTTGGATTCTTCCTCTCCTCATGCTGTGGATGTTATTTATGTATTTGGAGGGGGTGTGGGACTAGGTCAGACCAGGTCAAGAAAAGGAGAGGAAAAGGAGGGAGGTGTTGATATAACCACCGAAAGATGCTCCCTTCCCTCAATGCTATGGTCTGAATGAATGTTCCCTGCTTCCCAAATTCATGTGTTGAAATTCTGATTCCTAAAGGTATTGGTATTTAATCCATCACCCAGGAGGCCTAATGAAGGATGGCGGGTAGACCTGGGTCTGGGCCACACTGCCTGAGATCCTGACTGAGGGACCTCCGACACAGCTCATCTGGGAAGGAGGACAAGGGTTCTGATGTGCTGTTTCCGACCAGGCAAGAGGGGAGACAGACTCGCTTGAAATGGGTTGTTATATACTGAATGCATTGCCTCCAAATTCATACATTGAAGTCCTAACCCCCAATGTGATAGTCTTTGGAAGCAGGGCCTTTGGGAGGTGTTTAGGTTTATATGCCATGACGAGAGTGGGTCTCTCGTGATGTCTTGTAAAAGAGAAGAACAGATCTCTCTCTCTCTCTCTCTTTCTCCCTCTCCGTCTCTCTATCTCTTTGTCTCTCTGTCTCTCTGTCTCTCTCTCCATGAACGGAGGAAAAGCAGCTTTCTTCAGGCCAAGAAGAGAGCTCTCACCAAACACTAAATCTGTAGGTTGTGCCTTAATATTAGATTTCTCAGCCTCTGGAACTATGTGACATAAATGTCTGTTGTTTAAGCCACCCAATCTGTGGTATTTTGTCATAGCAGCCAAGCAGACAAAGACACAAGGTTAGTATTGTGTAACTTGAAGAATTAGAAGTCGCACACCTGGGTCCATGTCCTGGTTGGGCCACTTATTTCCTGGGCCTTGAGCAAGTCACTCTTCTCTCTAAGCATCAGTTTCTTCATCTAAAAATTAACAGTTCCTTCCTCAGAGTTATTAGAAGGATTAAATGCTGAAGATGCTCATAGAGCTCTCACACAGGGACTAGCACAGTAGGTGCGGAGTACTGAGCTGGCACCGTCAGCATCACCCATGCCATCATCAGCAACATCAACATCATCCATGTCATCATCAGCAGTGCCAACATCATGCTCATTAGTATTGGCGTCATTGCCATGTCAAAAGCACTACGTGTCCGCTTGCCCTTGACCTGGGTACCATGTTGGAAAAACTCAGAGTGGCAAGCAAGCACAAACTCAGAAGTTGGCTTTTCCATGCAGGCATCAGTGGTGACCACTTTAGGGGGAAAAATGCTTTGGAAACCAGGTCACAGAGGGAAGTGCCTCTTATTGTACAGAGCCGAGAGGTCTGCCGTGGAAGTGCAGAGGGAGCCTGGCCTAATTGCATTGATAATACAATCCTGTAACTCATTCTGCCAACATGAAGGTGGATGGGCAGTCCCCATCCTGGCTGCTGAGCATTGCCCGTGTTTTCCTAGGAGAGACATCTGCACAACAGTGGTGATTAAAGGGCCTTGGACAGGCCTTGCTATTAAGAGTTTGTGGCTCCAGTTTAATAAAAGGTAGTATATTAAAACGGAAATACATTGTTATTGATAAGGACTAGATACATTATAGCCCAGGTTAAAGCTCTTATAATACAAAATGCAGGGGAACGAAGCTCAGGGTTATTGAACACCTACTATGCACTGATTGCTCTGCAGGACACTTAGAGATATCATACAAAACACCATGTGCCTTCAAATAAAGCCTGTCCTGATATATTAATATATTTAATTATCAGACTTTCAACATTAAAGAAGATTACAATAGAGGCATCCGGTTGATTGGGGAATAGTTAGTGCAAATGATAAGCTCTTTTAAATAAACCAATACTGACTTAATGAGGTTTTGCTGGTATTATTATTTTTTTCTTGATAGAAAATGGAGCAGCTGTTCTCTTCCTCCACCATTCTGTCCGTTTGCTCACTCATAATGACCCCCTTTTCTCTAGCTCCATGGGAACTCTAAAAAATTTAAACGAATGGATATTTTAGCCTCAAGTTTCTGGAATTCTGAGAGGGTCTGAAAGGTATGTGCTCAATTACCAAGACGTGCGAACAAAAACAGGCAGCTTCGCTAGGAAAGTAAAAATAGAGAGGAGTCTCCTGCCTTCCCTGGGGTTGTGCTTTTGTTTTTGGAAGAGGATCAAGAAGTAGTCAACCTCCAGTTAATTTGCTCCTTCAGATAACTTCTTCATGCTGCCGGCGTGAGCACCATCATTAAAGACTTCATAAGAGCAGGCTGAGGGCCTGTGCGTTGGGAAGAATTCCTCATCTGGCTGAAGAGGCTGGTGTGGTTTGGACTTGCTCCCCTTGTCTGCCCAGTTCCAGACGGGCATGTGCCCATTTGAGACAGGCTGATGGTGTGAGCCAGCCAGTGCCTGTCCATTCAGAGCCCAGCAAGGAAGCTGGAATAATAAATACATTGCACACATTGAACACCCACCCCGCCTCCCACATTTTTGACTTATGCTCACATAACCCTGCGATGATAAGTATTCCTGCCTCCTTGTTAAAGATGGGCCTTTAAACAGTCCTAGCCACAGGTCCAAGGGCATGTTGCTCATCAGTGGCCCACCTGGCATTTGAAATTAGGCTTCTCTGGAACTTTCTATGGAATCACACTTCCTTAGTCCCTGACATCCTATATAATAAAAGGCTGATATGCAAATCGACCGAACAGCAGAATGACCGGTGGAACGACTGGTTGCTATGACGTGCACTGACCACCCAGGGGCAGACGTTCAATGCAGGAGCTGCCTCCAGCCCTCAGGCC